CTCTCTCTCTCTCTCTGTGTGTGTGTGTGTGTGTGTGTGTGTGTGTGTGTGTGTAATATAATATAAATAACTTTGTGAAAAACAAGCATGGTGTAGTGGTTAAAAATCTGGACAAGGAACAAGAGAACCCAGGTTCTAGTCTCTACTTAGCCACAAAAGCCAGCTCATAACCTTGGCCAGTCACTGCCAAGCAATGTCAGGCTATAAGCAATGTACAATAAACTGGTGAAGAACAAACCCCTCATTGCATTGTAGTGATGAGTATTCTGTGAGAACTAACGAAGCACAGTGCAAATGAACAAACCCTACAGTGAAGCAGGACAAACACTACGTAAATGAATAAATCACTTGATGAGATCACTTGATAGTTCTGATGAATAGGTGAACTGTTCTGTTGACACATTTTGTGATGTTCTGGTGTCTTGTAATGCACTACTTTTCTTTCGCAACAGCATGTTGCAAAATGGTTGGTCACTTTTTTGTGTGAATCCTGATGCTGTTACTAAAAACAATTGCATATATGGAACGAATCAAACAAAACAAGAATCACAGTCATACTTATGAGAAATTCTGGGATTATTCAAAAAGCATAAAGTAAGTCTTGAGCACCCCTGTGGACAGAGAATCCACAAAATTGTACTTTAATTATTGCTTGTTGGAAAATGTAATTCCCAGGATTCCTCTTCTGAATACATTATATTTAAAGGGAATAATTAAATAATTCTTCTTTCCCCCCCCAATCGTTCACCCTTAGACCCTGAGGAATTTTTAGCACCTTGTAAGAACATTGCACTTCTTGCCTACTATATAATCTTGGAGGTTGCTGCAAGATGGTTTGATTTTATTGCTAAGGTCTGCACTCTGAGCAATTAATAATTTATTAGCCAAAGTCTATTAATGTAGCCCACTTGTTAAATATAAATAAAACTGTAACCATAGTCATTTTTAGCTATAGTGCTCTTTAAAAAAAAGTTACTTCCATGGTTTGGATTTTGAGAGGTGCTAAACTTGTGTTTATGTGAAATAGACCTGAAAATCCAACCAATTATGTCTTAAAAGATCAGTTATTTTTCTGGATTTGCATAATAATGCTGCTACTTCTTTTGCTGCATAGTTACTTAGTGGGAAATTCGTGTGAAGCAGAAATAACAATCATTTGTCTTCTCTCTCTTTATTTTCCTTTTGTTATTTTCTTTTGCAACAATTTTCAGCAGGCAGCCTCGCTTTTCTTGTGATTCTTTCCACAAAGCCTGCACATTTGGCAAATGCTTTAGCGCCGTATGGGAGGTGGGTGGAGAGGATTTTGCTGTCATTCTTTCAGCTGAGCTTGTTGACTTGCTTCAGTAAGTAGCAGGAAGAGCTTTTGGGGAATACATTGAAAACTGAATGTACTTAATTTCTATTCCGAATGAAATAGTTCCATTTGGTAAATGCCTCAAATATCTAAATGATCTTTCCCATGATTTAAGGTTAGCAGTACAGAAGGAAATGGCTTGCTTGTGTCTTTCATATAGATTGCAAAATTAAAAGAATGGTCAGATCTAATGCAAGTAACGTGCCTGAAGTATAAAAATAATGTTTGAGGATACATTTCATTTTATCATTTGTGGCTAATTGGAATAAGATACATTTTTCTTCATTTTAGCCATTTTTGCATGAAATTTCATCAGATCTCTCTTGGAAAATCCCCAGGAAACTTTTATCAAAACATTCTTACCGTATACAAAAATAACTGTGACTGGAAGTAATAATGTTAATGTTGTTTCCATCTTTTTCTAGAAAACCAACGGCAGAATTAAGTGATTGTAACCCCAAAGGTTTAGAAGACTTTTGGAAAACTAAATCTTGTTTCTACAAGATCAGAACTGAATTAAATGGCTGATAAACAGATTAGGTAAGAGCTTTTTTCTGTTCCTTTCTCAGCTATTCTCACTTTTCCTTTGTTTTGTTTCCACATAGTCCATTTTCTTTATCTCTAATTCCAAAATACATCTTCCTTTTGCCTTTACTTCTCTTTTCCCTAATCTGTCTTCTATATACTCATTTTCATTGGCCATTGTATTAAATGCCATCTGGACATTAGACCAATTTCTCAAAATTGGTAAGTTTAGGGAAGATCATCCTATAGAGGTGTGGTTGTTTTACATCTTCTACATCTGTAGACGTATGGTTATAAAGGAGGGTTTCTGTATGCATAGAAAGTTGAGATTTTGTGTGAAATGCAACTTGTATATTTGTTTATATGTTATAGTTCCAGAATAAAAATAGGATGAAATTGTAGCCTGTAGCTGCAATACAATAGAAGATTATTACAGTATCTGTATCAGAATGATTTGTATTGCAAATGTGCATATTTGTTCACTGGATGCAAATGAAAAGTGGCATAGCCCTCCAAAGGATAATGTAGCTAACAGATGAAATCGATAGAAAGATTAAACGATGAAAAAATGTAGCAGATACAAGATGAAGATGAGTTTATAGGCGTATCAGAAATATTGATAGTCTAGGCCCTTGTATGTACATACTTCTTCCAGTAAAGGAATAAAAAAGCTCATTGAAATAAGATTTAAAATTATATAATATATTCCTTCAGTTTCTCTAGATTTTTTTTTTAATATCTTTGCTTTCATATTACATGTAATCTTTTTTGATGGTCAGAATGCATATATATTGGGATACGGTTATCAAGCTATATCCCCAATACAGTAATATTAATTACAGCACAGCAATTTCTTTAACAAATTACAATATTTGATATTGTAAATATTTGCAGTTGATTCGTAGATAAAATGTGATTTTTATAGGATTTAAACTGTGACAACCATTTAAATACTGTATTGATTTGTGATGTCACAATAATAAAGGATGCTCGGGTATGTTTGTTAAAAAAAAATCCCTTAAACAGAACTGAAATCATGGTTCCATTCTGTTAAGCAAATACTTAGTATGCCATTACAGACAATGTTAATATGCTCTGGTGAGTTGTCTAGACATGGATTTGATTTTTCTTTGTAAAATCCCCAAGGAATCTAATTTTCAGTAACCTCCTGAATTCACTACAAGGTTCATCTGAACCCTGGAACTCAGTTGACAGCTTCCAAAATCTTGATGTAGCTTTTATTTTTTATTTCCCTTTGTTAAAAGGAATTCTGAGTACAATATTCTATTCTACTTAGCTCCACAATTATCATATTCGTTTTCAAGAATGGCTCCATAAATTAATTTTCTCCTAAGACAAGCATTATGGTTCAACTTTTGATCAGACAGTGAATTTAGTATCAAAAGACGTTATGATTTGAAGCATAGACAAGCAGTTTTTAATTCCCTTTGGAGAAATTGACAGAGGACTGAATGTCAGTGGTAGATGGGATTCAAGCAGTGGGATATTTAATGGTATATGAGGCCACTCATTCTCTTTCTCTCTCTGTTTTGTTGTTGCCTCCCAGATACTTCTCCTTCCTCCATAAAGAAAAAGTAGGATAGATTTATCAGGAATCTGAATTGTCTACTTACAGTTGACTTTAAGTATTCAATTAATGCCATCCCATCTAATGTTTTTAGAGAAGAGTTCTTTATCAGGGTATCTGAAAACCATATATAAGACTGATACGCCTATTTAGAGCCCCATCCTAAAACTTAAAACATGGCAAAAGTTTCTACAACCTGACCTCTAACTCTGCATGTCTCATGGTAATTTTATTGTTCCTTTGTTCTACTCTTAGGAATTTGTTTGTAGATGTTGGTAGGTGGTGTACTAGTTATAGGGTGATGGGTCCCTACCAGAATTCTAGAAGGTTCTGAATGGGATTTTACATACAAAAAAATCACCATATTTATAAATGTACAGATGACCACAAGAAGATGTGCAGTTGTAAGAGAACTACCAATTCTTTGTACTGGTACCTTTTTTGATTGGGATAATTTTTAGAAAAATGCAGAATATGAAGATTCTTTACAAAGAACTAAAAATACAGAATTGCAGGCTGGTCATAAACAAATCTTAAAGAGTTCCTGTGTTTGAGTCAAGCATCAAGGAGTATTTGATTTCTTTTCATTTTAAATTTAGGCTCATGTAAAGATTAACAGCTTTACATTGTATGTAGGAATATTTTCTAATCAGTTTAATAATAGCAATAGCAATAGCAGTTAGACTTATATAATATATAATAAGATTTGAGCAACATAATGAATTCATGCCAGAATATATACTCTGAGATGTTTTTCTAATCTAAATTTCCANCTGCGGCACCCCATAATTCAGGGGCCTAGGTCAATCTCTGCCCTCCGACCAACACCGACTGCGACCTGTCCGAGAGGTAAGAGGAGAACCACCGTTCTGTAATCTGTTATGTGGATCCTAGTGCTACTGAAGCTTCAGTAGTTTTACATCTATTGGAGGAATTAATTGTGTGTCTAAAGCCAACATTTCATTTTTATGAGAAACTGAAATAATTTAGTAACATTAGTATATTTAGAGCAACAGATCTGAACACTGTGTTTTTGTAAATCAGTGGAACATAACTTCAAAGAAACAGTCTCCTTTGATCTTATGAAATTAACATATAGAAAAATTTATGAATCTTGCTAAGAGCTCAGAACATATTTAATAAGGATTACTTATTGAATGGCATCATTTAGCTGATGGATACAATCCATGAGCTAGAAATTAAATGAATTGGATTTATCCTAATTCCCACATTTTGAGTTAAAATGCAACATATTACTAATATAGTTGTAGGGCATGTGTTTCATGTTAAACATATTTTCCTGGCTACTATCATCAATATCCCAAATTTATTAAGATATCAAGAATTATCATACTTTTCTTCAGATGATGCTGGTGAAAAAAAGAATTGTTACAGAACATTGGAAAGATACATTTTCATTTTATTTCAAACACTAGATTCTTGATGTGTGTGTTTTAACATACATATTGACTCTTTTTGGACACAGGGGAAACAAAGGATTTTCAAGCAATTTCATCAAAAAAATTTAAGCTTTATAACTCTCACTATAGTTTAATTTTAATGTTACAATGCCACATTTTAAATATATTAGTCTATATGTAAATCAATATTTGTTCATATTCTCCTGTTTATTTCTAAGGTACCAAAATATTTTTTTTAAATTATTGTTGGTCTTGAGGTTTTTTGGGGATGGCATAATGAGAAAAGGGCACAGAGAAATTAAGAAAAATACCTCAGCTTTCTGCTTAATGTTATCACAGTCTTCTTCTGCACAAAGATCAATAAAAAAGTTTTCCTCCTTTGGGCCTGGGGTCTTATCAATAAACCATCCACCTTCTGAAATTTTGGTCACTGATGGAGCTTGAGAAGAAACAGTACCTGATCTAGGTACTGTTTGTGAAGTACTGGTAGACATAATTAAATCATTTTTAGGAGATGAAGGTAAAGAATCTGGATTTCCTTTCCGATATAAGGTTATCAAAGAGGTATTCATGTGATTTGAATTCTGAAAGAGAAATTATGGACAGATGTCAACAGTAGACTGACTTTTTCAAATATAAATATCCTCAAAATCATGTTGAACATAAACAGAATATGAATTATAGACACAACAAATACTGTTGTAAATAATCACAATGATTCCTAAAATGCATTATTTAAAATTCAAAGACAGTCAAAGGTATTTAAAAACAAAAATAGGAACAAAGTAGAAGCAGACACTGCATTTAAAACATCCTAGAAATATGTGAATTATGAAAAGCCCAATTAGAAAAGAAATCTGAGCTTTCTTGAGATGCTCATTCCTAATACTGAAAGTCACCACTAAGAGGGCATGTGTAATTCTCCTAGCTCCACTATTCAGTAGATTTTGCTTAAAAGTAGTCTCAGAATCATTTGACTGCAATATAATGCTACAATGGCTGCAAACTCTGGAGAGTTAACTCTTCGCCAATTCTTACAAAATGTGGCATACTCCTTAGTTTCCAGAGGCTGCAAAAGCTGCATAAAATCAGGCTCCAAAACTGCTTTAATAACAAAAGCCTTGTGTGACTCGGAACAGCGCTTAAAGGTAAGTAGTATTCCCCAAGGAGGCTTTGTGAATGTCAAAGTACTGATACCACTAGGGATGATGTCAAGCACTGGACCTCTGCTTCAGGCCTTAGTGCTGCCACTGAGTACCGTTATATAGAGGGTGCCTGAGGGTGGATTCCTTGGGAGGCCTGGTGTAGGTCACGTGCAAGTTGGGGAGAGGCACCACAGTGTGGGCTGAGCCTGAAGCATTTATTTTATTTTATTTATTTTATTTTTATTAATTTATTTATTTATTTATTTATTTATTTATTTATTTATATTTATTTATAGGATTTATAAATCCTGGGCACACTTATTCTCAGTAACTCTGGGTGGCTTACAAACAATTAAAAAATATGGCCCTCCCAGGGACTGCACCACTCTGAGGCATCCCAAGCTCCACTTAATGACTCACGTAGACTTAATGACTACAGCTGGGAGACCCAGGATCATGACTCTTGAGTGAAATGATCACATGGGTTAACCCTAACCCTTCCTTAACAAACACAATGCCCCAAACCTGGACTCAATTATTGTTTTGAGGTCTATCTGTAGTTATGCAAGTCCCACAATTGGCTTGACTAAGATTTTTGAAAATACAAAGAACCTCCCAGTGCGTACATTTATCTTCAGAATTTTAAATACATGCTTTAAACAAATTATTTTGTCTTCAGAATTATAAATACATATTTTAAACAAATTATTGGTACTACTAATGGCTCATTTAAACAATCATACTTACAGGATGTTCACTATCGGTATCAGAAGTATCCAAGCTGGTCTCTGAATCACTTTTGGAGAAAGAAATAAAAATAAAACTTCGCATTTATAGTCATTTTAAAAAAGCAATACCATTTGCATGCATTTCCGTTAAATCAACTCATTTTGTGAATGAAGAATGCACTGTTTTTTTAAAATGGTCTATTCGAAAAGTTGCAATTTATTTGCCCCAACATATTATTGACAGTATATTAGTGTAATCCTTCTCTTTCAGGGATCAGCTGCAATATTTCCTAATTTTGCATGCCGAAGGAATACTACTACTACATAACAGAAAATTAAAACTTTTACTAAGATGTAGTGCTGTGTAAATTTTCTATAATTAAGCTTGATTCATCCTTTTCCCTTTTTTCCAAATATTATCAGCCTACAGTTCTATATATTTCTATTCTATATTAACTTTTTGCTATGAATTTTTGTTAATTCATATACTTTACTATAGCTAGAAGCAAATCAGGATTTCCTTTATTTGAATGTAGGATTAGAAAGAACATGTGCATATATAATGATAGCCACAATTATTCCAAAGCTAAAAATTTATTATAGCAATACTTACATAAAAATAAAGAAGAGAGGGAATGTATTTTTAACTACATAATATTTGTTTGCTAAGTGTATAGGACTATATTTGCACTAGATTAATTACCAAAAACTGTTTGGAAGGTCACTATGGATTTGACGAAGTAGATTGTGTCTAACGAGATGTACACGATAACAAATTTGTTAATCTTTGAAGTGACATAAAGCTATTTGGAATTTTTTAAATTGTGGTGATTGCAACTTACTTTTCATCCCTTTTTGCTTTCTTTGTGAAATATTCATCTTCTAGAGTGGCTAAATCTGTAGATTTTATCTCATCTTTGATTATCCCAATAACTACAAAGAAAATACAAATAAATAAGTAATAACAATAACTTGCTCATGTGTGAAACAAGAATCAAATTATATTTTATACAGAATGCAACCAACAGCCAGAAATGCTGGACAGATTGCAGTGTTCAAAGATATTGCTCTTAAATTAAGACCACAATCTAAAATGTTAAACCTCTAGCTGGTTCTCACATGACCAAATACAAATACACCTTCTTTCGTTCTCTAAGACTTTAGATTACTTACATAAACTAGTTTTCATGACATAAATTCACTTCAAATACAGTATTAATAAACATACCTTTTTCAACCTGTATTCTAAAGGCATTTCTTTTTCTTCGTCCATAATCAGCACTGAAAATCAATTTTAAAAACCTTGATGAATATATATTTTGTAGGTATACATTTTCAATGTAGAAGCCTAGTGCAAGCATCATAAGGAAAAATAGCCTAATGCATAATTATCAATGTCAAAGTAAAAAAAAGACTGATAAACACATTCAAATACATATGTTCTATATTAGAATAAGTATATTATACTGTGTAAATTATCCCGATTTGGTAATCTGTAGCTTCCGCATGAAGAAGTTAGACCAGTGGTCCCCAACCCCCGGTCCGCGGACCGGTGCCGGGCCATGGAGTACCTGGCACCGGGCCGCGCAGCGGCCGGGGGACATGAACAGCTGC